ACACACAAGACAGACACACACTACACACACTACACACACACACACACACACACACACACACACACACACACAAGCATACATGTGCCCCCACCCCAACCCCTCCCCTTAAGGCCACCAAGGTATCTAGGCGGCCACCTGCACCTTTTTGAACAGTGGTTATGGATCCTAGACCTGCTTTATGCTTGGGCAAAGATGTGATTATTGACATACTACATTACAATTAGGTTGATATCTTGAGGATTATGGTAAATAGCTCCTCCCATTTTGATTTTGGGAATGGAATTGGACCTTCAGCAATTGGAGATCTTGCAAAAACAGGTGGGTGTTTGTCTCCCATTGAGGCACTTGACCCTGGATATGTCCCAAGATTCCTCAATTGAATTGAGGTTGCTGATTTCTTTAAGGAGCGCCTCCCTCTTCGTCGAGAAGTCATCAAACAGCTGCCAAGTCCATTGTTTAAGCTGATCCTTCAAGAACCTTAATGTTTGGCAAACTCTAAAGCCGCCCCATCCTTCTACCAAAGGCACAAACAGAAGAGGGAGAAACAATGTTACAGAAAACGCCAGGCTGCGGCACCTAGGCGGCCGGGGGGTCCTAGCCGCATGACCAGCGGCCCAGATTTTTGGGGGCTCAAGTTTTGTTTTCAAGGTTTTCAATAGTTTTTACAATTTTTGACAAAATGTGGTTTTTTCTCACCCTAAAAGGTCACAAAAGGTGTTTAGGTCACATAAGAACCTAACCCCTAGCCGCCCCCCCCCCCCCCCCCCCCCCCCTCGCCCCTCCCTTGAAACACCCTTTCGCCTGGAAAAGGAGGCATTTTCGCCCTTGGGTGGGTATAGTCCCTGGGTACCCGCCCAAGACTAGCCATTGGGCGCACGCCTAGTGCCCAGCCCTAAAGGGTCGCCCAGGCACCCCTGGCAGGCCTAGGCGGTCGCCTAGGCACTAGGCAAACCATTTTTTGAAACAATGGTATGAAGCAATGCAGCTCAAGAACCTTGAGCCACAATGCCACATAATCTAAAAATAGAATGATTTCGACCCGTAAGAATGGAAAATATATTTAGGTTGCTTGGGGTATGGTCAAAGTGGGTTTAGGCAAGATTTTGGAGCAGGCCCCCAGGAATTCACCTTCCACTCGCGGTAGATGAGGAACTCAACAAGTTAGGTGATGGTCAGGCCGTGGGCATCGTTATACCAAGTATATATTGCACCATAAGAGGAAGGATGATGAGGTTATTCCTAAACACAAAATCTGAGAAACTTCATACTGTTAGTTATGTGACTGCCCCTGATTTTTCATAGGTCCACCAGGTGAATTTGAAGCGCCACCAATGCACTATGGGGGAAGGCTGAGACCCTCAATAGGAAAATAGTGACTGGATAAAAAGGCCTCTGTGAGCTGAGTTTTTCATAAAGACAATGGGACCCAAACGCCCTATATCCCTCCCTATGTCCCCTAAGCTGGGAGAGCATCCCAAGTACAAGGCCTTCGGCCACAAATCTGTTGGACCAAAAAAAGGTTGGGGGAAGCCTAGTTTGGTTTGACAACCCAGCAACTTACAACCACATTCATGTTAGGTGGTAGATGACAAGAGTAAAATTATCCATTTGCAAAGATTCATATTCAACCTGCATCACTCGGGGTCATTCTGAATTTGGACCCACTTCATATAAGTTGTGGGTCTGCATAGTGCACATTCATGCAACTAGGAAAGAAAGACTTGACATGTAGCAGCAAAGGCCTCTTAAGGAATGGGCTGCTCAATAGTGTCAGGTGTGCTCATACTTGTGTGTGTACCAATTCTAAGCTTGATAGACCCTAGGAACATGAGACTGCAGACCTGTTATTCGTTAGTGAGCCCATATCCTCTGCATGCGAGTCAATCAGGATTAAAATATAAGAGGTATTTGGGAATGTTTTTTAAAATATTGAAAGATGACAATGTAACAATTTCAAGGAAACCATGTTGCGACAAGTTGAAATGGAAGCCATACTTTAATCATTGAGAACGACTTTACTTCTTAACTGTAAGTATGTGGTTACTTATCAGCTAGATGGGTTTCTTTAGAGTTTAGACAGGTGATGCCCTGCATGTTCAATTTCCCTTGGTGCCCAAAGTTTGAAGTCTCTCAACCTGTTACACCCAACTTCAGGTCCCTAACTTAATAAATTTTAGGGTAACCATTTGAAACAAAGTTCTATACTAAAAATTTCTCAATTATTGGATGACTTCACATAATGTTAGAGTCAGCTTTCTTAGAAATTGCGTATGACAAAGAATACAACCATAAGAATTGCTCCATACTCATTCTTGATTACTTAGGGTACTTGCAAAACTATATTAGTTGCTCACCCTCCACCATTCACAATATTTTTGCCAAGTATCATGTCATTCTGTAAAAATTGGAACTACAAAGTTTATTTTGCGGTATTGAAACTTATGAAGCTTTCTCTTATTAGACAAAAAGCTCTTACGAAAGATAATTACCAAGCTCAAATTTTTTGCTGTCAATATCTATTCCAATTATCCGGGAAGCCCCCACAACTTTTGCAGCCTCAGATACCTGTCAATTCAAGAATTACACAGGCATTTAGTATGAGGAGTTTATCCAAGAAAACAAAATTGACTCACTGACCACTCACTGCAAGGCCAACAGTTCCAAGGCCAAATATTGCAATAACTGAACCAGGTTCAACTTTGGCTGTTTTCCAGACTGCTCCAAGACCTAAGGGAAGAAGATCCTATCTTCAACCACCAATCAAAAAAAAAAAACAAGAGAAGGGGGGGAGGGAGAGAGAGAGAGAGACTTAAACAGACAACAGTAAAGAAAACAAAACTGCATAGAACAGAAGTAAACAAAGTAGACGATTGCAATTTAAATGAACTTATAATAAGATAACTCAGGTAGGCAGGGGATGATATTGTCATCTCAAAAGAGAAACCAGGAACAGTTCAAGAAGACAGTTCCACAAATATTTGCTCCTAATTCAGTTTTAGACACTTCGATGTGAATGAAATACGGTCAAATAAAGAATCAGTTTATGATTTTTTATAAGAAATAAATAATCCACTAAAAGAGTAAAGGAATAAAAGGGAGGACAGGAAAACATGCCATGCTCAAAACGAAAAGAAGCAAGAAACACAAGAACCTAACAACCTAACAGTCCTTGAATGAACTACCACAGCTAATCACACAACTTAAACAACAGGTAATTGCCCCTCCATGATGCCCAGTTCCCATGCAGAACATTACAAGCTCATCCAGTCCTCAAGAAGGCCTTCCAGACTATTAGCTAGAGATTCCTATGTTTACCTTTTGGCGACAAAAGTTCCTTAATTGCATGATTTTTTCTCTCAAATTTTCCAAAACTTGGGTAGAAGGGATATCACAGAACTTGTAAAAATATGTTCAAGCCAGGGTAACTTTCTCCTACTGCCTATGCTTAGGTTCCCATTGCATCTGCCCTCAGTTTGGCTTCCTTACCAAATTAAACCAGCAACTTGAACCCAATTCCACAAACATCTATTTTGTTTCACACATCAATCAATAGCCCTCCGTATTTAACAGTATCAATAGCACTTTACTCAAATCTCCTGAAGTTTCCATACGTGCTTTTTATAAGAAATTACAAGATGCAGAAAAAACTTTTCTGCGCCATAACAAGCTCCTTCACAATCTTTGAATAACTTTGCTACATGTTAAAGGTATCAAAACAAACTCTTTCACCAAATTATCTAAACTAACCCAAATATGATTGAACACACTTGCCTTGCTATTGCAACTTTTCCCTCTGCCTGAAGTGGAATTTATATTTCTGTATCAGTACAAGAAGCTCACTCTTCACTTATAGAAACTTCCACATCCCCAAATTGTGTAGTATTAACTACCACAGCTCCTGCTTACTGCTTACTTCATCATTTCTTCTAAATGTAGAACAAGACTTATCCACCATTGGTTTTACAGTACTATGGATAGACATCAAATTAACCCAACAACTATATCCTTTTCACAATAGACTACATCTCCCTTAGTACTCATTGTACATGCACAACTACATATTAAGTCCTTACAGTCCCTGCTATAGCTAGCAATTTCACATGACCACTCCATGGAACCGTCATTCCCTGGAGGAAACACTATTTTGGAATCGAATACTTTCCAGTGTTCCATGCCAAAAATGAGTCAACTCACTGACTCATGAACTCAACAGATTATTCAAGTTATTTTGATGAGAAATTGTATAAAACAAAGTGTCCATAGGGGGATTCAAACCCATCTCTTCACTAGAGCAATGACATGCTCTAAATCATCGGAAAGAGCTATGTGGCCATTAAATTGTGTAAAACTCAAAGACAAACCAAGGTATGCATCATAAAATTCACCAACTACATGACCTTTGTTGACCCTGGCAAATCATAAAAACTTAAAACAAGCTTTTGGACCCACCTTGCTTAGTGCTTTCCACAGTCCACCTCTTTTCCAGGTTCCATAGATTGGTTGATTGCCAGAGCCCTCAATAACAGAGCATGTCCTCAAAGCATAGGACCCAACTCCAACCAAAAGCGCCATGTTTCAAAAAGATTTCCCTTGTAACAGGTAAGGTCTGTAACTCTGAGATAAAAACAACCTGGTCTCTTCAAAGAGCAGAACCATCCTAATCGTATCCAATTTCCTTTAGATCAAATTCTAGTCACCTTCCTTGTATACCATCCCTAAAACAGTGAGGGATTCTCTTCACCTTGATTCATGAAGAGCACTCACACTACAGTAGCATTTCTGAGAGCTGATCGGTTTGAGCAGAGAAGCTAGTAGACAAATCCTTGCTAAGGTAATCTTTTCGGTTAAAATTTATAAAGATCCATGACACTTTCCCATGGAAGATATCCTGAAAAGCTGGAAGGCCACTTTGTATTTGCAGTCATATAAGCTGCTTGTTGGACCCCCACAGAACCAGGGTGCATCATGTTAGAATTTGACAGTTGGTGTGGGGTTCCAAGACAAACAACCAAAGTTTTGCTCTGTTTCTCAGTTCTCAGCGGGGCAGCAAGCTCTAATATGGGCAAAGCCCAAACCTTGACAAGGCTGTGTGATAGAAAGCTGGGGTAACTCATTTATCATTGAAAGGACCTCTTTTAATGTGGTCTTGGGATGCAACCGACGATTTAATGCCTTCGAGAATTCAACAATTTTTATCGAGAACATGCTATCACTATTTCACTGTCTATCTCATTCAAGCATGTGTGGGGGGAGGTAAATGACATTGCAGGTGGACTAGCTAAACTAGGTGCAGTGGGATCTTGCCTAACCAATGGAAACTTTCATTATTCTCAGATCTGATAATGACCTACGAACATCAGACACCCACGGTTTTATTACTTGGATCCCCTCGTCACAGCCTGAGTTATTCTCCTGCCCTCTCTGCTCTCTCACCCACTCTTCGCTCAAGCCACCATATTTTTTCAGCATGGCATGACTCTTTTTGCACAGGGTTGGTTATCTAAAGACCAGTTCATCATATGTTTTCTTTTCATCCCCCTCTCTCCCTTACCTTGGCCCTTCGCCTGCTTTTAGCAGGGTTCGAATCCATTTTTGTACAAAGCAGAAGTTTTGCAAGCTGCAAAGGATATGCTAATACATTGCATTCAGCTTTTTTCTCTAAAAAATAAAATAAGAGAGGTTTATTCAATGGCCTCAGAAAAAGAGATTGAGAAGGGAACATTATGAGAGAGATTTCTTGATGGTAAAGGTGACGAGAATATTATCTAGGGGTTCTAAACTTGCTCATTCTCCTAAAGAGAGAAAAAAATTGAATGGGGAAAAAAAGCCATGGAGAGGAACTCAAAAGTCAAGATCCTATTTGTTCTCCCTAAGGGATCTACATATAGGTGTGATTGTTTCACAATAAGCATTACAAGTTTTCTGAAACCTGTAGTAGCTCACAACAAAATTGATGCATTCAGCTCACGACACACATAACTTTGACCTTAAATGTGGCTTTGGATGGTCCGAAGTTCAAATTGAAGATCTCTTCGATATCAGGAATCCCTATATGGAGTATTCCTAATGTAGGCATCTTGAGCTCCAAATCATGATCAGAAGTATGGTGACGAATTTAACCACGAACTTCAGGTTTAGTTGGGGTTTTAATTTTTCAAAGTCCACCCTATTATAATTCAATATATTCTGGTTTTGTTTAAGAGTTTCCTTATGTTGGTTAAAGTCAACTTATGTTTTAGCTTCCTATATGTTCATTATGTTCCTTTGTGCTAAGTTGAGTACCCCTTTTGTAACTAGAGGCTAGGTGATGCAGTGCAGATGATCGCCTTAGATTATTTGGAGTGAGAAGATTAGGTTCAGAAGAAGAAGAATTAGCCCGAGATTTCGTGATTGGAGAGAGAAATGAGAGTACAAAGAGAGAGGGTGGAGCGCCACCTTTTGGAGAGAGAGAGAGAGCTCAAGCCAATTGTGTAGAGATGACCCCATTGAGAGATTACATAGAAGAGAGGTTTTAGAGAGAGAGAGAGAGAGAGCTCAAGGCAATTGTGTAGAGATGACTCAATTGAGAGAGAGAAGAGAGGCTAGGGTTTGGGTTTTTAGGGTCTAGCCATCCTTATGGAGATTCCATCTAGACCATTGATCATAAATGATCTGTGGTGTGAGAGATCTCAGCCATAAAGTCCATAGATCAGCCATCATGATATAATGGACGGTGCTAGAATCTTATCCCTCAGCTTCCTTGAACTAATCCCATCAAATATTTAGTGTATAGAAAATATATTGTTGTTTCTTTTTATATTTACACATTCATTTTTTGAAATCAATTAGCCTCTTTTCAAAACTTTCCTTTTTCTTTAAGTCAATTATATGGCTTATGGAACAAGGCACATAAAATAGAACGAGAGAAGTAGTGGGGCAACCCACTCTATGGGGACATAGTGGGCCCCACCACCTATCAAATATGGGCTAAAATGGTGGGCCATAGAGTATAATGGGCTGCCATATTATTTAATTATTTTAGAACCATTAATGTGATTTTTTAGAAAAAGATAATTATTTTCTTTTATAAATATTTGAATACCAAAAAATTCAGTTTTGGCTCATTTAGAATTCAATTTTGATGAAATAAACTATCCAAAGGCATCTAAATATTTATTTTAATATTCTAAAAATCATTTAAAACAATTAATTATTTCTAAATTAATTTGATGGGAATCGAATCCAACTTCATTAAGGAAAAAGCGAAAGCTCTGAGGCACTCCATCTCTACTTGTTACTATGCCCCACACTCACTTTCTCAAACTGACCTAGTAGTCCCCATGACCCATAGTCCATCACAGGAGTTCATGATTGAACTACTAAAGCCAGCCAATAAGTGATGAGAATACAATCTCAATCTATGGACTACAGGTTCCCCCCAAGGACAAGCCTAGGTCACACAGACCTGTGCACACTCATCACAATTGGTGCATAGGGGCTATCTCTAGCACATGTACATGTAACACTCTCAATGATGTCTACTTCTCAATACGGCTATCATATATACATGTTGTGTGATGGTCCTAATGAGGATTTGGCCCTTGTCTCTTCAGGCATACCAATCACACACAACAGTCACAAAGTCCCTTGGCCAACTACCCTGGGCATCTCTTAGACCTCATCAAGAGCTAACCCTACAAACCCTTCGCGGTTGTGCTATATGCCCAGGTATCATACGGTTTTAAAACTCAATCCGGCCTAGCTTGTCAAGCCTAGTTTGAGTCACAGCTTCAATATTGCCAACTTCGATCCCTCTGGACCATCCTTTGTGGTCATGGGGCCATTTAAAGGCCTTACAAGAGCATGTAAAACTATGACTATAGTAATGCAAACTTCATGAGTCATTTCTGGAGATCTCCATGGAAATTGATGGGAACTGAGTTATGTTTTAGTAGTGGTTACCATCAACAAGCTGATGGTTAGACAAATGTAGTAAACAAGAGCTTGGGAAATTTATTGCGTAGTTTGGAAGGAAACAAGCCGAAGCAGTGAGATTTGGCTTTATCTCAAGCTGAATTTGCTTTTAACAGGTCCTAGAGTTGAACCACTCAAAAAAGCCCATTTCAAGATGTCTATGGATATAACCCAAACAGTGAGCTTAATTTGACTCCCATACCTCATGCATGTAAATTTAATTAGCTGACCAAATCAAAGGCAATCATGAAAAGGTTAAGAAGCAGATCAAAGCTAGTAATGCTAAATACAAGTCTACTGCAAATACGCATTGTCGCAAGCTAGTATTTGAAGTCGAATAATATGTTTGGGTTATGTTTACCAAAGACAAGTGTCCTGTCGGGGAATATAATAAGCCCAGCGATTGGGAAATTGGGCCATGCAAAATTTTGAAGAAGATCAATGAGAATGCCTATCAGTTAAAGCTACGAAGCCATATGAAGACTTCCGATGATTTCAATGTCGAGCACTTAATTCCTAATGTGGAAGATACCTCTAGTGACGAAGAGCTTAACTCGAGGTGAGTTCTCTCCAACAAGGAGAGGATGATGCAATGGAGATGATTGCCTTAAATTATCTGGAGCAAGCAGATCAGAATAAGAAGAAGAAGAATTAGCGAGAAAAGTCTAGTTTTTTTCTTGTCTAGCAAGTATTGGGTTTTGGAAGTTGTTTTAAGTTGTTTTTTCTAAAAGAAGTTAAAGAGTTGTTTTAAATAGTGAGAGCCCATTTTTTTAAAGAGTGAATCCTTTTAGAAAGAATTAATAAAGGGGTTTAGAAGGAAGGTTGGTGTTGGAAGACATTTTTCATCATCATGGGTCCTTAGTCAGTAAAGCCTAACAAACAGTGGAAATTCCAACAGTCTCATAATAGCACCAGAACTGGCCAAGATCTTCATAAGGACTCCCAAAAGTCTTCTGCCAAGTTTCGTGGCATTTCGACATGTCTAAGGCAGTGCAAACTTAGAAACAATTTCAGCAGATTCAGTCTCTAGCATTCTGAACCCTATAACTAGAGCTATATTTTTGGTGTCTTAATTTGCTATGGGACCACCGCCATTAGATCTGGCACGGTTGAAAACCCTTAGGGGCCAAATATCAGCTTGAACGGACATTCCAAGAAGAAGTTATAGGCAAAAGAGTGAAACAGGAGGAGCCGCAGACTATTCCCGTGCAGCCACTTTGCAACTCAACTCCATTAAAGGGGTAGTCATGATCAGTGACTTCGACACTCATATCTCACCCGTCTCAAGCTGGATCGCGCTCAAATTTTGTGAGCTGTTCATCTTGTCAAGACGAGCGTTTCGATATGCGGCACGCCCTACGACGACGCCCGAGCGCGAAGAAAAACTAGAGAGAATTTGCTAATCCGTAAAGAAAGAGCAGGAAAATCAGCAGCGTCGTGCCTCGCTCGAGCAGCCAAATCTCGCAAGCCCGATCGACGTGAACCAATTCCATCGCGTGCGCAAGGTCTAGGGGTATCTTTAATCCAAACCTCGTACATGATGAACGGTCGGATTCCGCACACGAAGCTAATGAAGTGACTGAAAATTCTGTCGCCGAAATTCCAAATTCTGGCTAAAACTCCAAAGTTGCAAAATCTTCGTCTGGGCACGGAATCGAGTTGTGTTAGTAGCCCCGCGATCGTGACGGCATGCTCAGTGTGATGCAGCGAAGAAATCACAGAAAAACATCAAGGAACGAGCACACAATCAATCCAAAGTTTCAAGATTCATTCAAATTTCAATTCACATGGTCGTGCCATAAAAACACGATCCATGACTCAAAGTTGGTATCAAATCCATCGCCATGCCGAGCCCTACATGAAAACAATCATCTTTCGATCAAACGGGCATCAGAACAACCCCAGATCATCCTTAAAAAATCATGCACGTTCTAAGGCAACACAGGGACTGTCTTGGAATTCCACAACTTGTTAGGAAGGGGCAAATCGGTCATTTTGCACCCTATTTTCTAATTTCTTTTAATTCAATTAAATCTTAATTTCCAGCAATTAGGTTTAATTTTGATCAATCCACCCATGTTTGGGCACAATTCTATATATATCACGTACCATCATTGCACGCAAAAGGGGCTTGAACCCTTCACCAAAAGGAATTTTTACTTAATAGAATTCCCTTTCCTTCTCATTGTTGGGTGACGTTTGGAGAGACAAGTAAGAAAAGAGAAACTTTTGGACCGGTACCCGTAGGCTCAAGGTAAACCTTCCCGCTCTTCTTTCCTTTATTCTTCTTCTTCTTCTTCTTCTTCTTCATCTGAGCCTCCCTCAGAGGCCATGCACGGCAGTGGCAGTGTCATGCATGCCTCTTTTTCTTCTTTTTTCCCTTCATATGATTTCACAGGTCGTGCATGGCGATGGAAGCACCATGCACGAGCTCCTTTCCCCCTTCTGTTAGTCCATCTCTATCTCTCAGCGAGGCTTGCAGACGACGCTGCTCATCGCCATCCGCAGATGTGCCCTCGATGTCTCAGTGAAGAGCACAGATGGCGAAACTTATTGCCGCCCGCAGGGGTCTCCCCTTGTTGCGCGCCTATCACAAACTACGATGCCTATCGCCGCACGCGAGAGGTCGCAACAACACCTATCGCCGTCCGCTAGCTTCCTTCGCACGCTTGGTGCCAATCGCCATCCGCGAGCTTCCTTCACGCGCTCGGTGCCTATCGCCGTCCGCAAGCTTCCTTCATGCACTCGGTGCCTATCACCATCCGCAAGCCTTCTTCATGCACTCAGTGCCTATCGTCGTCCGCGAGCTTCCATCGTGCGCTCGGTGCCTATCACCATTCGCAAGCCTTCTTCATGCGCTCAGTGCCTATCGTCGAGCGCAGGCTCTTCTTGTGTCCCACGCCTATCGTCGTGTCCCAGTGGGAATAAATGAAGAAGGACGTTTATGTAATGGGAGGCTTGGCTGGGTTTTTGTTTAGGTGAATGAATAAGTAAGCATAGAGAGAGAGAGAGAGTTCTTTCCTCTATTGTTCTCTTGGTAGAGGATGGAGAGGTCTTGACTCTCCGTGTTTGTGCCTTTTTTCTTGCGATTTCTTCTCCATCCATTATTTCTCTCTCTATAGCATGTTGTAATGCTGGTTATTTTTTTTTTGAGAGATGTTGTAATGCTGGTTATTGGCTGCCGGTGATCACAACTGCATCACTTGGTCAAGATGGGCTCATTTATAGTCCAAGTAAGACGGTATTTGGAATCGCAAGTGAATATAAGTATGTAACTACTCGTAAGATGCCAATGGGCGCCAGATCAGACAGTTTTCAGTAATAAAATCTGTTTCTTTCTAAGTTTCAGTAGTGTGGCTTCCATATTTTCCATCATGCTGATTTCACAACTCATCGAGATGCTGATTCCATTAAACCCTAGTTCTTGCATGGTACTAATTCTACAATAGGCTAGGTCCTCCCTCTCCATCCTACTTTAATTTTGTGCAGGATCTATAACAAACAAATTTTATGTCCTCACTCTTGTCATTCCACATCTCCCATACTCCATAAACCAACATCCACGAACACTCTTAACTCACAAAATCATAACACTTTCATCATTTCACACCTACCTCATAAGCCCGAACCCTAATCTCAAATCACATCCAAGCATAAATCTTTTTGTGTTCTTTCTAAACCTTAAGTAGCGCATCATCTCTTTGGTCCTACTCCTACATCAATAGTAAATGTGCAAAATATCAAATGTAGGAAAAGTAACCCTCACACGGATGATGAGGATAGCTGTAGGGCCAAAATAGCGTATTCCCGATAATGAAACTTTGTCTTAGGTTTTTGAAGGGTTCAAATTAGCATGGTTTGTCCAAGGGACAAACATCAATGTTCAGCTTTCAGCCCAACTGATATAAAACACAACACTGCATCAAAGATCACAAGATAAAACAGAATCTATTTCTTATAGGAAGTTGTAATATTAGAACTATACAAGGCTTTTTCATGCAAAATGGTTTGCAACTTGTATCCCATAACCAATGTGTTCCAAAGCATGTAACTTGTTGGTCGTGAGATAGTCCATATACCGCTCATATAATTCCACAGACCTCCCTAATGATGATACAATGCTAATGCCATCATAAGGCATATCAAACCATATAATGTAAATATAATAGATAAGCAATCATTATATGCTTGAGGATGCTCTTCCTCAATATGCACTAGGGCAAGACTACAAAAGGAAAAATCATGTGGATGTATTAGAAACATGAACCTATATGTATGGTGAACATGGTGACTCAATACTTCTGACTGCATACTCTTTTTTTTTTATTTGATGGTTAGCTCCTGGCTGCATTGTCCAGAATGATTTAGAAGTAAAATAGGAGAAGATTTATTTACAGAGAAAGCCATAATAATCAGAAATTTATGAAGTTAACAAATATCAAACATATATATATGAACATGCACATAAAAAGCTTAATTCATATAACCCAGAAATCAATATTCCTTACCTGTTGGAACACCACAGGCAAGCAAACAGATTTTCTCTAATGGAGCTTTTGGATCAACTTTTGCAACACTAATGTCATGCACAACAGAGTACTGGCTGAATGTTGATATCCCCATAAAGTGATAGATAGGCTTCCCTTTTATAGAGAAGCGGCTCTTCCGATCCCCAAACATAACACCAGCACCAGTAGCTTCACGAATTTTGCCACAGAGATTTGTCTTTCCTGACTTGCAGAACTTGCATTCTCTACATTCTGGCGGGTAACAAGGTATAACGTGATCTCCAGGTTGAACCTCTGTTACACCTTCACCAATGCTTTCCACAATCCTAGAAAAACAAATAACAGTCAAATTTAATACTTTCTTTCCCAAAATAAAGAAAAGACGCTAATGGGTTTGTAAGATTGACAAAATATACCCAGCAGCTTCGTGGCCCAGAATGCATGGGAAAAGACCCTCAGAATCCTGCATAGAAAAATTGAGTAACAAAAACCAATGAGTGAAGCAGATGCTCTCAGCCAAAGAATGTAAATATGAGAGACATAACATGATGGGATATGGTGACCCAACTAGATAGAAAGGTAGTTCAGAAGTATACATAACAAGTTCCACCAACAGACTTGTTATGTGATAGTAACCAAAGTGACAATTAGCAATTCTATGCAATTGTGATGTGATAGTAACCCAAGTGACAATTAGCAATTATATGCAATTGTGATAGTAACCCATGTGACAATTAGCAATTATATGCAATTGTGATAGTAACCCAAGTTCCACCAATAGACTTGTTATGTGATAATAACCCAAGTGACAATTAGCAATTATGCAATTGTGATGTGATAGACTTGTTATGTGATAGTAACCCAAGTGACAATTAGCAATTATATGCAAAGGCTAATTCACATGCCTGTCATATGAGATTGTAACCAAAAGATCCATATCCTTCAAATCTGTGACAATGCACATCTCCTTCAAACCAGCTTGTCTGCAACCTCCGGATGCAGATCAAGATCCATATCCCAGTTCCACATTCATCCATTTAACCATGAATCCTGCCTTAATTTCGTAGATTTCTTACGCTTCAGTGTTTCTTCTCAGCTAATGGATGATATATGCGATTCACAGAGAAGCCACACTTGCTGTTGCATCCCTCACAAAATTCTGGCATCAAATAAAAGATGTAATCAGTGCCGGAAAACTCAAGACAAAAAGATATTTCAGTTCATGCTGAAGGGCTCAATACCATTGGAGGCTGGTAATACATTCTCAAAGCAGATGGACAGCTCTCATCTGCCCATGAAATGTTGTCGCCTAAAGTAGTATGCAGGTTAGGCAACAACATGATGATGACTGTCGGCCCCCAACAAAAGGCACTTGTTTCGGTTCACACTTCCTACTCCAGAAAACTGATGCTATTAAGGGATCCCCGATAATTTTATCACAAAAAAGACAATGTTTGCAGCTCTCATTCCGACTTCTGCAGACCAGTTTTCAAAACCTTTGTTTAGGACTAGGAAGTTCCCTGTGTCAAAACAGCTCGGAAACCTCCTGAGTCCAGAAAAAAAAAAAAGTGGAGTCACCAAGGATGAAGAAATTGCTAAGTCTTAAAATGAGTTTGATGTAGGACAAAGTGGGCCTGACTCCTACATGAGTGTGGCATACAAGGTGGATTTGGAGAAGATTTGGGGTAAGATTGGAGTCCTAATTCGAATGCAATTGTGGAATATGATGTTTAGATGAAGTAGAAATATGGATAGGGTAAAAAATAAGGACTTGGTTAAGTTAGGACAAGGTTACCATAGTTTTAAGGTTTTCTAAAGGTTACAGCTCACTGGAATTTAGGAGGTCCAGCACAATAGGACGACTTTGAGATGAATTTACAAGTTAAATCGTGGCAACCATATGGTTTAACCTTAAGCTTGGAGGCTACGGAGCATAGGTATATGATTAGAATAACTTTTGAGCTGGTTTATCTAGGTTTTGGAGAGGTTTGGCCATGGGTTTATGGAAATGTCTGTATGAGTGACAGATTTGGTTGCAGGGAATCTTAGGTGGGGACGTGCCATACAAGAGGGGAAAGATAAAGGGGCCCAAGCATACATGGGGAGAACCTCCAATCGGTTTTTCGAAGGTCCCCACCTAAAGAAGAAAGTGGAACATTTATTTCCCAAACCTAGGGTAGAGATAGAATCACTATTTCTAGAAAAAAAGTCACAAAATTCCTTCTCTAAATGTGATTGTCCTCACAATTAAAACCTAATCTGAAGTAGTGACAGGCCCAACATCAGTACTTATAGAAAGTTCCAGGTCTTATTTGCACTACACTTGGAAACTTGAAAGCATAACCAAAAAAAAAAAACACCTAAGGACTCCAGAAAACTATGTAACTCAAACAGGTAGGACTAGATAATAGAATTACTAATCCAAGAAATACCAAACGGAGAGACTATTTTTGGAGGGAACCTAAATGGTCATGTAGGAAAATATAGTAGAGGATATGAAAGGGTACATGGGGGACATGGTTTTGCGGAAAGAAATGACATGGGTGAGGCAATTTTGGATTTTGCTACAGCTTACGACCTAGTAATAGCAAACACGTACTTTAAAAAGAGAGATATGCATTTAATAACTTACACGAGTGGACCATACAAAAGCAAGATAGACTTCTTTCTAGTTAAGAAGGTAGATCAACTATCATGTAAAGATTGTAAGGTTATCCCGGGAGAGCGTTTGATCACACAACATAGGCTCATGGTTATAGTTGTCTGCATAAAGCGATGGAAGAGGAGTCCAATTAATAGGTATCCAAGAACTAGGCGGTAGAATTTAAAAAAATGAGAAAATAGACTTACTCAGGGATAAATTTGTAAAAGAAGGATAATAGAAGTTTGAGGACAAAGTTAATGTTATGTGGAATGAGATGGTTGATTGTATTAAGGCGCAAAGAAACTAGAGGAAAGGAAGTTTCGATAAGAAAACTTGACGATGGAATGAGGAGGTTCAAAAGGCTATTAGATAAAACTGATCATGTTATAAAGCTTGGCAATATAATAGAAATAATCAAAATTTAAAAGAATATAACAATACTAAGAAAATAGTAAGGCTAAACCTAAGGCATATGATAACCTAAACAATAATTGGGGACAAGAGAAGGTGAAAAAGATGCCTTCAAATCGGTAAAAATGAGAGAGATGAAGTGTAGGGATCTAGATCATATAAAATGGATTAAGAGTGAGGATCAGAAGATTCTGGTGAAGGATAACAGGTCAACGAAAGGTGGAGAATTTATGTTAAAAAATTGTTAAACGACGAACACTAGAGGAACACAATGTCAGGAGTAAGCTTTGACATAAATGAGGGAAGAGGTCATAAATACATTCGCAAAATTAGGATATCTGAAGTGAAATAAGCTTTGATAAAGATGAAGATACGAAAGGCTAAGACCACATGGTATCCTTATAGAGGTTTGAAAGTGCATGGAGAGATTGACATATGATGGCTGACCAAGCTATTCAACAAGGTGTTGAGAACAAAGAAAATACCAGACAAATGAAGAAAAAGCATTGTGGTACTTATCACATACAAGAACAAATGAGACAAACAAAAATATACGAACTATCGAGGGGATCAAACTTATTAGCCACACTATGAAGCTATGGGAGAGAGTGATCAAGCAAGGACAAAGGCATGAAAAGTGTGTATCAAAAAATCAGATCAATCTTATGCCATGAAGGTCAACAATTGAAGTTGTTTTTCTACTTAAGCAACTGATTGAGAAGTTTAGAGAAAAGAAAAAGACCTCTGTATGGTCTCTGATGATTTAGAGAAAGCAAACAATAGGGTACCTAGACATTTAATTTGGTGAGTGTTGGAAAAGAAAGGAGTCTCTAGAGGCTATATTGACATGGTGAAAGATACGTACAAGGGAGGAATAAAGTAGTGTGAGGACAACTTGCGAAGAGACGAGAGTTTTCAATGACAATAGGCCTACATCAGTGGTCAGCGTTGAGCCCATATTTCTTTATTTTGGTTATGGATGAGTTAGCTAGGCAACTAAAAGATGAGGTACCAGGGTACATGTTGTTTACAGATGACATAACTTTGATTGATGAGATTAGAACAGGTATCAAAGCAAAGTTAGAACCATAGTTAGCAAGTAGTTGTTAAAAACACAACTTTTTCAAAAAAGCGTTGTTTTGTTGTAATATGTTTTTAAATGAGTTTAAACATATCGAGAAAAACATGTTAGATTGATAAAAACGTTAAAAACACGTTTTAATGACTTTTTGAAAAAACTGGTCAAAAAAAAAACTTTCCATTGATTGCATCCAAATTTAATTTTTTTTGGAACGTCGTATATATCTGTATTCCTTCCATTCCAAAGAAAACTGGTTTTAAAAAACTTTCCTATTTCTGTGCATCCAATTTCAAAATTTTAGAACTTGCCTTCTTTATCCCTTCCATTTGAATTTCCTTCTATTTTAAATTTTTTTGAATAAAAAGTTCTAAGAAAGTTTCAAATCCAATTCAAAATTTCAACTTTCTATCTTTATCTTCATTTCCAAAATTTTGGAACGTGTCTTCTCTATGCCTTCTATTTTGTTTTTTTTGGTATAAAAACGTTCCAAACAACTTCAAATCCAATTCAATTTGTTTTAACTCTCTATTGCATCCCTTCTAAAAATCGTATTCACCGAAATAATAATAATAATCCAACACACGTTTTCCAAAAAAAAAAATTATATTCGTTGGAAAAACAAATTGTATCCAAAAAATAAACTAAAAAAAGACCTTCACAAAGAAGATAACAATGGGAAAAAATTCTACTTTTATTAGCTTATACATTACTTGATTTTCTCTTATGATCATTTTAACCTAGATTTGAAGTTTTTAACAAGAATTCACCTTGCTATTAATTCTGACGATCTACCATGCCTAATAATTTTTAATGTTGCCTTTCATCTATTTAAATTTGGATCTAGTGACTTTGTTATGCTTTATAAAAAAAAAAATTTGGCCTTGTTTTGTATTTATTATTTGATCGTGGGATGAGAAATCTAAATTAATTGACTTTATTATATTAGAGTAGTAAAAATTTTCATGAATACATTACTTCTTGATGGTTATTGGAAATTTTAAACTTTCACATATCCAATTCTTTCACTCCAATTTTTTTATCTCGATCCCATATATTCACCATGTTTTTATTTATAATATTTTTCCTGATCCGAATTTTTGCATCCAGCTTTTGGAACCAAAATTGATTTAATCCCGATTTTGTAGTGAGCCACTATATTGTTTTCCCCCACTTGCTAACTATGATTAGAATTTTGGAGGGATACACTAGAATCTAAAAGTTTAAAAATTAGTCAAACTAAGGATATATAGAATGCAAGATTAGTCATAATAGGAGTAGAAATGAGGAAGTAGTTAAGATTAATGACCAAGAAATACCTAAAAGAGGTTA